AAAATAATTAATTTCAGCCTATTTGGCTTTGCGCAAACGTGGCCACCATCAGAATATTAAGGAGCAGGAAGAATCAGTACGGATAATTGGGGGTTACTTACAATCCTAAAGGAGGCCGTGAATCGCCATTGGTCAGCTAAGGGGTCCTAAAAAAATGTTGTGTAACTGCACCCCGTAGCAGCAGCCGTTGCGAATGTGGTTAAGCAGGAACCGCGCAGTCCTTAGGGGAGGACCTCACAGCAAGACCACTTAGTCTTATGCAGGGAATCCTCCACGTACGGCCACAATGGAGCCCAGAATATCCGTTTCAAAGTGAGTTTTGTCCCATGTTACAAATCCTCTCGCTGCGTTCGTTGAAGCGAGTCGCTGCAGTGGATAAGCTAGTAAGACCGTTGTTAAGCAAATCAGGCTTCCTCTCTCTTGACTGATTACACATCATCAGAGTTGGAAGGGACCTTAGGAGTCATCTAGTCCAACCCCCCGGCCCGAACTTATCAGAGGGTCGCAAAAAAGGGATTACATGGCCCCAGGACGCCGCAGCCGTCATAAATATGAATCGGTTGCCAAGCATCTCATTTGGATCGCAACGGTCGTAAGTGTGAAAAAAAGGTCCTCAGACCCTTTTTCCAGTGGCGTTGTGCCTTCGAACGGTCACTAAATGAACCCTGGTTAAGTCAAGGACCACCTGTATTGCGTAGTACTCTCAGAGGAGCCAGGGATGCTCGCATAAAGGAGGTGTGGCTGCCACTTCCGTTGGGGTCCCACAAACTCCGCTCCACGACGCAAAGGCAGCCTGCTTTGGCCAGAGTTGCCGTTTTTTGTGGTCTCCTCTGCGCACGTTTACACAACGCAAAGAGGAAGGCCATCAGCCCAGGCCTCTCACCCAGATTTGGTTTCAGGGTTTTCGTCTTGCCGGCTGCAAGTAGCGACCGTTTCCCAGGAAGAAGCCCAGCGTAGAGGCGATGCGTAGGGGAACAGGGGGGCTAATGGTGTGGATTTCTTTTGTTTTTCCCCAGGAGAAATCCCGGTGGCCAACGCCGCCTCCTCCTCCTCTTCTGGATCAAACTGTTGCACTTGCAATTGTCAGCCAGCTCTGCAGGCCATTCTTCAGGAGCTGAAAACTATGAGGAAGATCATGCAGATCCAAGCCGGTAGGACAATCGGTCTTTCGAACCCCCCACACACAAACTGTGTGGGATACTCTCAGTCAGTCAGTCTCTCTCTCTCTCTCTCTCTCTCTCTCTCTCTCTCTCTCTCTCTCTCATATTTTACAACTGGACTTTCTGGCTTATTCTTTGAAGGCATTTCACTTCTTATCTGAGAAGCTTCTTCCATTCTGAGTTTATCTGAACTGAACGGAGAAACCGAAGAAGCTTCTGGGACAAGAAGCAAAATGTCTTCAAGGAAAAACCAAGAAAGTCCAGCCACTTTTTGGAAAGACATCTTTCAGGTCAGGGTTGTCCCAGGGTTGCTTTCCCAAAAGTCAAGTGGACTTTCTTGATTTTCTTTGAAGATGTTTTGCTCCTCGTCCAAGAACCATCCGGTCAGAGCTGAAGAAGCTTCTTGGATGGGAAGGGGAACGTCTTCAGAGAAAAACAAGACCGTCCAGTCGTCTCTTGGAAAAAAAAGCACCTTTGGATGATGGGGAATCTCCATAAACACACAACTTCATGACTTTGCTTAATAATTATGGAGATTCTCTATCATCCCGTTGTCCCAAAGGTGCTTTTCCAAAAGTCAGCTGGACTTTCTTGGGTTTTTTTCCTTGAAGAGGTTTCGCTTCTCATCCAAGAAACTTAATTCACTTCTGATTTGAACTGAACTGAAGAACTGAGGAAGCTTCTGGGGCAAGAAGCGAAACTTCTTCAAGGAAAAACAGGGTAGGGGGGAAGCACCTTTGGGGTCTCAAAGAAAACTTTTACTAAAGAAAAGTAAGGGTGGGATTTTTTTTATTTTTGCTTTTTATTGTCCAAGTATGTTTATCAGTGGCAGTCCTTGAATTGTGACCACAAATTCTGACTGTTCATCAGTTTTGCTTGCCTTCAGTTCCACAGAAGACATGTTGGTTTCCTTAGATCACTTGGAAGGCACGTAGAGTTCAACTCCCGGGATTTCCCCAGCCAGGAGCTGAAGTCCACAGGTCTTAAAAGTTGCCAAGGTTGCACCAGGTTCATCCCAAGTCACAAAGCAGCTCAGCACAATTTGACTTGGTGTCCGACTTCTGGCTGGGGAATTCTGGGAGTTGAAGTCCGCCGATCTTAGAACCGGCATGGGTTGAAAAAAACATTGCTTTAGACCAGTGGTCCCCAACCACCGGGCCGCGGACCGGGACCGGTCCGTGGATCATTTTGTACCGGGCCGCCGGTTTGCTTGGGCGCCGCCATCTTGTTTCGACGGCGCTTGAGAAAGTGCTTCCGGGTGAGCTTGTCGGTCGTCAGTTGTTGGAAAGCAGCATTTGGGTGCTGAAGGAATCCTCGCGCCTTAGTTTCGTCAAAGAGGGGGGGCGGCTTCAAACGAAGAGCCGTCCCGATGGCGGTGGAGTCTCGCGTTACTCAGGAGGAGATTAAGAAAGAGCCCGAAAAGCACAAAAAAGGTACAAAGGAGGAGTTGAAGGTGGCGGGGAGAAGCGGGGGACGGCTGGCTGGCCGGTCGCTCAGCTCACCTTGCCTTGGTCGTGCGTGCTGGTGCCGGTACCGGTCCGTGGATCATTTTGTGATGCCGGTACCGGTCCGTGGTACAAAAAAGGTTGGGGGCCACTGCTTTAGACGATCTTTCGCCATCTTTACGCACGGAGATGCTTGCAGCCGTCACGGCCTGTATCTCCCCATCCTTCTTTCCTTCCGGGACTCCGTGGGACTCCATTGGGTGGAGGCGAGTTTTGAGGGATTCTGGCGATACAGAGGTGGGGAGCAAAGGTTTGTCATTGCGTCAAGGAAAAACCTTGCAAGCTTCTGACCTCTTTTTCTTTCTTTGCTTCTCTCAGCAGCTGCCCAGGACCGACCTCAGCCCCTGGTTCCTCTGGCTACCTTGCCGAAATCCACAGTCTCAAGGAAGAGGAATAAAAAGAAAAAAGCGACCCCAAAGACTGTCAAGCCCCTTGCTGTGAAACAGGAACCTGGCCCCGGCGAGAACAGCAGGAAGTTACCCGCGAATTTGGACCGGTTGAGCGTGGAAGCGGCCGAGGCCTCCGTGAAAACGGAGCCGCTGGTTTCAGGATTCGGCATCGTGCTCGAATCCTCGTCTTCAGATGTAAGTGGACGAGAGGCAGTCAGTGGCAGGCAGACCTTGGCTTACGACGGTCCGTTCAAAGCTACAACGGCACTGAAAAAAAAGGGACTTGACAGCCATTTTCCGCACTTAACGACCGTAGGAGCATCCCCGTGCTCCTGCGATCAAAGTCCAGGCACTTGGCAATTGATTCGTCTTTACGACAGTTGCGGTATCTGGGGGTCATGTGATTTCCCCCCCCCCCCCCCTTCGGTGACCTTCTGATGAGCAAATGTCAAGGGAGAAACCAGGTTTCACTTAACATCTGCGTTACCAATTTAATAACTGCCATGATGCACTTAGCAACGGTGGCAAGAAAGGTCGTAAAATGGGGTAAACTCACTTGACAAATGTTTCACTTAGAAAGTTTGGGCTTAATTGTGGTCGTAAGTCAAGGACTACCGGTACTGAAAACCTTCCATTGGTGATATAATAATAATAATAATAATAATAATAATAATAATAATAATAATAATAATAAT